AGATCTTGGGGGTTTCTTGGGGATAAGTTCCCAGTGCATCTCTCAGGATCTTTCTAGAGGGGGTGGGGGTCAGTGTTGTGTATGGTCAAGGGGAGATATCGAGGTTGTTTGGAGGTCACTCTCCAAGGCAGCTCTCCGGGTCATTTCAGGGGGTGGCGAGTCAATGTAGGGGATGATCATGGGGAGATCTCGGGGGGTTTTTGGAGGGTATCTTTTCGCATGAGCTCTCAGGGTCTTTCCAGGGGGGTGAGGTCGATGGGGATAGGGTCAAGAGGAGATCTTTGAGGTTTTTTGGGGATAACTTTCCAGGGCAGCTCTCAGGTTTTTTTAACCCATTGAACAACCTCACAGTATCCCACTCTTCGGAATTTGGTGGTAGTATGCGTGCGCAGCTGAGCATTTCTTATGGCGCACTGATACGTTGAGGGGCTCCCTACTCTCCTCACACCGATACCTTCGGTGACTTAAGGCCATCATACACGAGCGAACGGCAGGCGAACGGTTCGCGCGAACAGGGTTTTTTTGCGAACGGTCTCTTGTCTCGAAATTGCACACACGGGACGAACCGAATGCCGTGATATTGATACGTCAATATAGCTGCGTTTTTCATTTTTCAATTATTCTTCCGTTTTTTTTTACTGTTTCATTAAATGTGAAGGTAGGGCAAAACTCAATTTTTCAGTGTATTTATCTTTTACTTAATTTTTTTTTCCTTGAGAATTTATACCAACATAATACGGGCAGAATTGTTAACTGCTATGAATCACTTTGCGATTTTGCCCCTCCCTATTTACTTCCACAGTGATGACGTATCGGCATGGGCCTCCTATCCCTTCAGATATTGACCCAAAACCATTTCTGTTGATATTGGTGATAGCAGAACAAGTTTCTCCCAATTTTATGAATTTCGCTGGATTTTAACATAATTTTTACCGAATGCGTGATATTTGGGAAATTTTGCGGAGAAACAACGTTGTGAGTTAATGTTGGAAAATTTACTCTTATTTCAGTATATGAAAGTATAAACGTAATTTTTACGCCATTTTCATGGTAATTTCTATCAAAATTTTGTCTCCATGTGGGAGGGTTCGTTCCCTACCGATCCATCCGCTTTTCTAGGACCGTTGCATTATTATAACCCGAAATAATTAATTAATTAGACCATTTGGTTCGCGAACGACGTTCGTGATCCCCACACACGGACGAACTTCCAACGAACTTGGTTCGCCACGAACGGCCGTTTTCAAGCCGTCTTGAAAACGACGAACGGCGCACGACGAACGACGAACGGCGAACGACGAACGACGAACATGGTTCGTGGGCCCCACACACGGGCGAACTTCGTTCGTCGGTGGCTCGATTTCACTATGTTCGCGCGCACCGTTCGTCTGCCGTTCGCTCGTGTATGATGGCCTTTACATTGTTCAATGGGTTAAGAGGGGGCGGGGTCATTGGGGGGCCTAGTCAAGGGTTACATTCCAGGGCAGCTCTGAAGGTGTTTTAAGGGGGGGGGGCAATGTAGGCTGTGGTCAAGTGGGATCTCGGGGGTTTTCTGGGGGTATCTTTCCAAGGGAGTTCTCAGGCTTTTTCTAGGGGGGGGGGTTAATGGGAGGTATTAATGGGGGGGATTAATGGGAGGTATGGTCAAGGGGAGAACTCGGAAATTTTTTGGGAGTATCTTTACAGAAAAGCTCTCAGGGCTTTCCGAGGGGCGGGCATGTTAATGAGGGGCATGGTCAAGGGAAGATCTCGGGATTTTTTTGAGATATTTACAAAAAAAAAATATTTGCAGTCCATGGGTTGATGAAGAATTTGGGTCACAATCCCGAATTACTTTTCTAATCAATCTTTCGATTGTATGTTTCAAATGTCAAATATCGTCTAAGAACCCCAGGAATCTCCTCTTAGCCATTTCCTCTGAAAATACCCTAGAAACTCCTCTGAAAAATATTCCGTGAAAATCTCGGCGATCCCCCTAGAAAAATCCCCCTAGTTATCCCCTCAAACCTACTTTGAGAAATGTTCCCCAGATTTCTCCGGAATTTCGTTTCAACCATACTTTCGAGATCTCCTCTTGACCACACCCCTATTGACCCCTGGAAGCAACCTCAAAGAACCCCTCGGGATGTCCCCTTCATCATACACTCCTTGGCAAATCCTAGAAAGATCCAGAGAGCTATCCCCAAAAGTGATCTTCAAAATCACCCGAGATCTGCCCTTGACGATCCCCTTCATTAATCCACTCCAGAAAGACCCTCAGAGCTCCCCTGGAAAGTCAACCCCAAAAAACTTC